TATTCGGGACGGCTTATACTCGAGTATATACGGTATATAGTCTTACAGATACCTTTTAAGGCAACCATAATGTTGATGCGGGCCCACGATTGAGTTTGACACCCCTGTATATAATGTTATATGAAGGAATCCTCTGTTAGAGCCTTGGGATGTACAGAGATTTCAGTGCGGGGTTGAAGCCAGAACGGATATCGTAGATTTAGCTGCACCTAGGGTGACCGTACAAAGATCCAATCCCGGCCACATTAGGACATTATCCCCAGTGACTGGCCAATACAGGTCTCCCAAAGCGGGCCGTATTCAACGCTTCCAGCTGTCAGAACCCAAAAGATGTTAAAGGAGAACTATGAGGGGGGAGGGGCGTGCTTTTCACTCACCTCATAGTTCTAGCCGACCTGTGACAATGAGACTGTCACAGGTCGGCTCAGTAGATCGGGAGGTGAGAGAACACATGCCGGCGTTCGCTCACTTCTTGATCCTGTCACTGCAGAGAACAGTTACTGTCAATCATGGCTCCCTGCAGGGATCCCCCCCTCCTCCAGCGCTGACTGGCAGAACGGACGGGGGAGGGGGCGGGTACAGCTGGTTCTGCCTCTAGATAGGTAGAGCCTGCTGTCAGTCACGCAGCTGGGTGGATCTCGACAGTAATGTCGGGATCTGTCCCGGCTGCGGCGGTCTCAGTATACCGCGAGCTGTAGCTCCCTATATACTGAGCTTAGGGTGACGGGAGGACGCAGGTTTGTGTTCTCCCGCTACCCTAAGGAGAACTACGGGGGAAAAGCTCTGACCCCATAGTTCTCCTTTAAAGTGCACTGAAAATCTTAGTGGCGGCAGAGCCCGAGGACACGGCTTACGTTATACGTCACAGAGAATGTTCCCAACCCCCGGCATAGCTGTGATGTGTGTGTGTGTGGAGGACGGCCAAGCGTGTCACCACCAGAAAGACACGAGCCGCCTCCGGCCCAACAAAAGTCTCATCATCATCATCATCTGAAGCCTCTCACTTGATGTCGGCCCCGGCAATGAAGCAGCCGGGTTTGCTGGAGATCAGGACGGCACTTTTCACAGCATCGTTGGCCCAGATTTCCTTCATGACGTCGCTGAATTCGCTCTGCAGCTGCTTGGACAGCGTGTTCACCTGCACGGCACACAAACAGAACACGTGAGTAACATGCAACGACATTACGGGTCAGCAATACGGAGTCAATGGGTCTGTAAGCAGTTTGCGGTGGTGGACATTGGCTGCCTTGTGCACGTGTCGGCACCTCCGTTATTACAGTCGAGTCATTTTCATCTCCACCGCTACGTGTGGCCAACGCAGGTTGAAGCTGAACTCCGGCCTACCCAGCTGTGGGGTGAAACTACAAATCCCATGATGCATCTCTCTCCGGGAGTCACGCCTGTGAGAATCTTGCAAAGCCTCATGGGATTCGTAGTTCCACCCACAGCTGGAGGGCCGGAGTTTGGCTACCCCTGCTATATAGAGATTGCCTCATCTCCTGGCTGGAGGACATCCAGCAACATTCAGCTCTTTCCTCTGCAGCCTGACTGTGCCTAGTCCGCCCCTTTTGTATCCATTAGGATTGTAGTTACTTCGGTCACGGAGGGTCAGCGCCACGTGTGGATGTTACTGAAAGAGTGACTTTACCCGGATCTTTGAAATGACAACAAAAGACACCTTTATAAACGTCTAGTAATGAAAATCTACAGCACACAAAACTTCTAGACAATTGCCCGTGTTCTATCAAACGTTCCAACTTGTCAAGATCTCCAACGACCTGACTTCCGTTTTGTTAGAAGAGATTTGGCAGAGAAGGCTGTACTGCACGTGCGCCACCCGCGGCATTTCGCTATACACGTACTACACAGCAATAAGGTATTAAAATGAACTAGGGTCAGACTACTCCAGCACGTTTTTAATCCGAGTTGCCCCACTCAATATGGCCGCCGCTTGAAAGGGGCAACTCAGATGAATAACGTGTTGGATTAGTGTGACCCTGGTTCATTTTAATACTTTTATTGCCTTGTAGTACGTGTATAGGGAAATGCCACGGGTGGCGCACGTGCAGTACAACCTTCTCGGCCAAACCTCTTCTAACAAAACAGGAAATCAGGTCGTTGGAGATCTTGACAAGTTGGAACGTTTGATAGAACACTGGCAATTGTCTAGAGGTTGTGTGTTCAGTAACACCCACATGCGACGCTGACCCTCCGTGACTGAGATAACTACAATCCTAGATTCCCGAGGAGTCTGAGTTTTTCGAAAGAACACCGGCTTTGTATTCTTTGCATACCCTATTTTTCTTCTCACGGCGGCCATTTTAACTAAGGGCAGATAATTCCATCTCCCTTTACTTCCTGGAACTCTGGCACATGTGACTAGGACATGTGACCACACACATCATCTCGGGGGAGGAAAATGCCTTTCCCTGAGATCTCATAAGATAACAGATGAGATTTCCCAGCAATGCTCTGCTGATGTCACCTTCCCAGGAGGCAACGCTTGTTCACATTACATCACTAATGCCCAAGAGGACCAGGAAGTGGAAAAACAATAATTGTAAGTAAAAGCAAAAACTATGTTTAACTAAATGAATGTGAGATGATGTCATATCACTATGCAGTAGATAGATGGAGGGTCCCTGCGCACTCCCAGCTTGCACAATAGTGGTGCTCGCAGTGATGACCACGGATGGCGCCGTGCAAACGAATAGCAGAAGACGGGAATCACCAGCGCTCAATAATATCGTTCCGATAACAAATGTCCATTTATTTGGACAGATCGTCACAATGCAAAGAGCCAACGTTTCGGAGGCCACTCAGGGGCCCTTCATCAGGGCAAAAAAAAGGTGACGATCTGTCCAAATAAATGGACATTTGTTATCGGAACGATATTATTGAGCGCTGGTGATTCCCGTCTTCTGATATCACGATGCAGAGCTACATGCTAATGTGATTTTTAGTGAAAGGGGGGTAAAGGTCCGCATGCACATACATCCTGCCTAGGAATGCCCCCTCCTCCAGACTGACATCCGCCCAACATGGCATTTTGATATTTGCATAACTCCTCCCAAAAGCCGGCCCAACAAGGAGTGTAAGCGCTGCAGGGTAGGCGAGAACAGAGCCATGAACTACGGCAGTGAGATGACACCACTGTAGGGATCTACGAGCAGGAAGTGGTAAATGTCAAAGGGGAAACCTGGTGTTCAAACTGAACCACCGATTGGCTGACTCTGCCTAAGCACCGCCCCCTTGAGAGTAACAAGTGACCTGCCGCATGCCTTGTGTGCCGCCAAAGCTGCTAAAAAGCAACTCGTCCTTCAATAAGCTCAATCGGTTCAGATCCGAGATTTAGAAACAGCGCAGACCAAGGCCTCAGTTACACCAGATGCGATGCGTCCCGGCCCGATTTAGGCTAGAACGCAAGCCGGCCGCAATGCCAGGCAGTGCGTTCTGCTAGAATCGGGCCGGGACGCACCGCATCTGATGTGACTGAGCCCCAAGATGTAGGTGGCTATTATTCCAGGACAGACAGACGACGCGGCCAGGGCGTACCTTAGAATTTGGGGTGTTGAATCGGACAACGGCGACATCTTGTTTAACTTCGTAGCTCACGTGCGTTCTTGCTGCAACGACACAAAAACACAGATATCGGCGTTATACAGAGAGCTGGAACCCGCAGATTCCCAGCAGACGGCAGACACGCGGGGGGACTTACAGAGCATGGCAGACGACACGGACAGCGATCGGCAGGTGAAGCCTGAGAACAAAACAAGAAAACAGGTTACAAATCAGGAACATGTAAGACAATGGCCAGGAACTACAAGTCCCATCATGGCTGAAGGATAATGCTTAGACGTGCACTTCCACAACAGGGGGGTTGGTTGCCGTTGAGCTCACTTATTGTAATAGATTATGTGTTTCAGGTATTTAGAAACATTCACATACTGTACATCAGGGGTAGCAAACCTCCGGCACCCCAGCTGTGGGTGAAACTACAAATCCCATGATGTGACAATCTTGCAATGCCTCATGGGATTTGTAGTTCCAACACAGCTGGGGGGCCGGAGGTTTGCTGTACATTGTCCTCAAGGAGCTTACAATCTAAGGTCCCCATCTCACATACACACACACAGGGCCAATGTAGACCGGAGCCAATTCACCTTCCGGCATGGTCTGTGGAGTGTGGGAGGAAACTCAAACAGCACATGGAGTACATGCAAACTCCATGCATAGCGTCCTGACCGGGGACCCCTCAGTGGTGCAGGGCAGAAGTGCCGATGCCGACCACTACACCCCTGTGCCGCCCCATCGTCACACTTGTACACAAGGATGCAAAAAGTAACAACGCAGGAAATTCTGCCTGAACCTGAATGAGGATTGCTGCGTACATAGGGCCCCGGGAGTGATTTCCCAGCACTGCACCCAGACGTGGAAACTCTTCCCGCACTCCTCTACCTAGTCACACAACTGAACTATGCCCTGCGGCCCGTCACATGGGGAGGATCAGAGGGCGGCTGACAGACACCAAAGATCACTGCTAGAGAAACCCGTTACCCCTCCATCCCGACCATGTCAATGATGTTCGACACACTTAACACACATATGCATTTTGAATTTCTGTTTGCCAGAGCTCACCTCCGGGAACAGAGATTCAATACAGATTGGGGCGGCTGGTTGACTGACAAACGTTGTAGCTCTGGAATGGTGTGAAGGAATTTTCTACCTCAAGCGGGTCATGCTAGCACAGTTCTCCTGAGCAAATGTGTCTTATACTGCATCCCCCTCTTCCCATATGTATATGATCTCTGCACCACTTAGACTTCATCAGATCCAATAAGTTACACTTGTAGTAAGCTAATCGTATAAATAATACTTTAACATTGTATTGCCAAGATTGGTTATTACTTATGTTATCCCTGGTTCTCCCCTTTTCCCTTAGAGTGTTACACCCCCCCCCCTCCCCCCACCCAGCCTTATTTTTTTTTTTTACTTAATTGTGCTAATTTGTTCGGACCCCCAGCATTTTAAGGGCCCGCTGGCTTTTCAGGATTGGCTTATGATACATCTATGCAAATATTGGGCCTTTGGCCATGTATTATTTGGTTATTTTGTCCACTGCCACATTATATTGTATGGGTCTTGCAACTCTGCGATTTTCATTACCTGTATTGTGAAAAATGTTGAATAAAAACTATGGTAAAAAAAAAAAAGAAACCTGTAACCCCCCCATTGTATTTCAAGATTGAGGAGTCCGGCTCTGACATCACCACCAGTAACATGAGGCTCAGATACCAGATCACACAGTACAGATAAAACTCCGTCATGCCGGGACACACATCATTTACTAACATGGTGTGTGTGTGTGCGTGTGTGTACTTGCACACATTCACATCAGTCCCTGCCCCCCGGGGAGCTCACATCGATACACACAGGGCCAATTACATAGTATTTGAGGTTGAATAAAGACATTAGTCCATCAAGTCCAACAGTTGATCTCTCCAATGGCTGAACCTGGAAGCAATGTGTATCACATCACTTCCAGTTTCAGGGCTTGCTCACACCAGATCCGATTGCAGTTTTGATGTGCTGTGGTGCGTTTATTTCTCAATAGGTTTTGCTCGGGTTGTAAGCATGTTCCAGAGCATTCTGGTGCATTCACGGGTTTTCGCTGCGTTCCGGGGGAAATAAATGCAGCATGTTGTACTTTTTTTTTAAAGCTCTGGAATTGAACAAAATGGAGTGAACTATCCTCATTTTTACCATTGGAATTAAAGCGACGCGCAAACTGTTGGCGCTATATAAATCCCGCATAATAATTATAATAATAATGGATTTGTGTTTTTGGCCCAGATAAATATGTTCTGGTCTGCAGATGGTGTGAACAATCCCCGAGTGTCATTTGTACGTCCGCTGCAGCCGGAGAGGAAGCAGGTGAAGCACAAGCATCATCAGCTTCTTTGGGGTTCCTAGGTGACATTAGGGGGTCTAATAGACCTCTGATGTCTCCATAAAGAGGACCTGCCACTGGATCTGCGCCATCACATAGGAGGCTTGTTAGACCAATAACACACTTCCTGTCTTCACTCTACGGAGAAGCAACTGAGTCACCCTTGGGCAGCAGCATGGTCACCCTGTGGGGAGGGTGGTGTTAGATGAACTCGAGGATTTAGATCAGGGGTCTCAAACCTCCGGCCCTCCAGCTGTGGGGTGAAACTACAAATCCCATGATGCATCTCTCTTCGGGAGTCATGTCTGTGGCTGTGAGAATCTTGCAATGCCTCATGGGATTTGTAGTTCCACCACAGCCGGAGGTTTGAGACCCCGGATTTAGATGGACCCGACTAACAAATCAAAAAAGGAGAACTATGAGGGGGGAGGGGCGTGATTTCCACTCACCTCATAGTTCTAGCCGACCTGTGACAAGGAGACTGTCACAGGTCGGCTCAGTAGATCGGGAGGTGAGCGAACACATACCGGCGCTTGCTCACTTCTCGATCATCTCCCTGCAGAGAGCCATGACTGTCACTCATAGCTCCCTGCAGGGATTCCCCCTCTCCAATCCTCCAGCGCTGACTGGCAGAACGGACGGGGGAGGGGGCGGGTATTCCTCTGGATAGGCAGAGCCAGCCACTCACGCAGCCATAATTGTCGGGATCCGTCCCAGCTTCGGCGTCTCAGTATACCGCGAGCTGTAGCTCCCTATATACTGAGCTTAGGGTGACGGGAGGACGCTAGTTTGTGTCCTCCCGTTACCCTGATGAGAACTATGGGGAAAAGCCCTGACCCCGTACTTCTCCTTTAAATCTGAACCCCCCGGAAGACATTTTTGAAGCAGTTTTGTTTCCCTCCATTTTGGGATAAAGGTTTTGAATTAAAGGTGAGCACCCCTATCAGTGCTGAATGGTTTGTCTCCACCCCTCTGTCTGAGGCTTTTGCTGGACACCTCGGCCTGCTAAAGGAAGTTGAAAAATAACAATTACGGGCAGATCACCCGATGCAAATAAAGCAAAAGAAAAACGAATGCGGCCGCCACATCTGAGGAATGGCGAGCTGGGATACACGACTTTTAGGTTTGGATAAACTTTAAAGTACGAGCGAGTTCGGATTCTGACCTCTGCGATGCGCGCACTCGATGACGACGACGACTTCTATTCTGTGCAGGAATTGCGAAGAACTTCATTCATCCTCTAACCCCCCCGAAAAAAAAAATCTCAAGGTCAATGATATAGCTTTGTTCTCGGGACAACCAAAGACACCTAAACGGAGGGTTCAGAAATATGCTGAAAATTCTCAATGATTTAACTCCGATTCCAGAAAAACGAGACCCCAGAGAATCGTTTATTGAGGAGAGCTGTGGGGAAAAGCCCTGACACACCCCCCTAGTTCTCCTTTAATTTATCCAAAAACTGGATTTAAACCCCAAAACAAGTCCAAGCCGAGGAAGCTGCGCACAGTGCAATGACGGCGGCCCTGGAGGGGAGATAAATCAGCTTCCAGCCCGCCGGGCCGGCTCCTCGGTGTCACCCGATCAGGAGACGGGTTATCTGAGGACACAGAACAAGCACAGCTTTATTTATAGTCTACAAGAATGTCAGCTCAGCGGCCGGAGGGATGAAGGATACTTTGTAACAATGAGTGGAAGTGATCAATACTCTGACATCACAATGTGATCACAATGTATCAGGAAGAGGAAACAAAGTATCTCCGCAGCTGCGCCGTGATCCGTCTGCGTCCCCTCATGGGAAGAAAGAGACTCCACGTCCGCAACACTAGCTGCTTACGCATTTATAATGGCCGCAGTACGAGCCGCGCTCCAGTGTCAGGACGCTGCGACTCCCGCGTACATGCGTGTCACATCGCATCACACGTGAGCAGCCAATCGCTGAAGATCGGAGAGACTCCGGTCCAAGGTGAAGATTTCAGCACTTGTGATGGGGGAGGGGTGTAGTGTAGTCACTAAGTGCCGTACCACACGGTCCAATCAGGAGGGAGATCCATACACGGTCGCCCTGCTGATCAGAATGGACGTTACCGTTGTGACTACTGACGCAACAATACCAGTTTGAGCATGAGCACCGATATTTATCCTTCAGTACTTGCCGATACCGAGTACTGATACCGGCTGCTTCCGCTGGCATGGAGCCGGCTTCACAGTCAATCAGGAACCCGGGCGGTGGGTTTACCCGCTAACCCGTGATTACCCGCTAACCAGCTCTCCGATTGGGCAGGAAGGTTTGGCAGGCTTGATGCCGATTGGCTGGGAAGCCGGCTTCCAGGTCAATCAGCATTGAGCCGGTTTCACGGCCAACCAGGAGGCGAGTCATTACCCACCTCCCGGCTTCCTGATTGGTCAGGAAGTCGGCTCCATATTCCCCTCGCGGCACTGCCGGTCAGGGGAAATCTCCCTCTGACGTGAAGTTCCGGTATCGAGGAAGGTATCAGAACATTTGGGCCAGTACTGGTACCGGTGCGTCGCTCATTGTGACATCCGTGTGTCCGGCTAGTTTTGTCCATCTTGTGATGGAGGGAAAAGTGACATGACCGGACCTCGCGCTAATGGACTTGTGTCTGTTTACATCACATGACCCCCCCGATCCGGCACAATCAGATCCGGTGACACAGAACTCGGCTCCGTTTCCTTTTCTGGACCTGGCCGGATCCGGGGTAACAGGATGTAAACACATGCCGGTCCATTTAGATCCGGCTGCCCATAGACCAAGATTGGGGTTCTGATCATGTCTGCCTAAAGAACTGACGGGACCCGATGGGACCGCCCCCTGTGAAAGGGGCCTATACAGGACTTCCGCCACGATGGGCCAGTATTCTGTGCACGGGGTCACCCTGTGTGAAGGTCCAAATATTTAGGTCACCTTTAACCCTTTAGTTGTCGCTGCCATATAGAGCATACAGCGGGAGAAGCCGGGGGCCTGGAGCAGCCGGGAGTTTGTGTACATGTGTAAAGCTGACAACAGGTTCCATGGGCAACTAAAGGTGCCGCCCCCTTGCTTCCAGACCACTCCCCCATTATATACCAGGCCTGGGACCAGCATGGTGAGTGCCGCCCCCTTCCTTCCAGACCACCCCCCATGTATACCAGACCTGGGACCAGCATGGTGAGTGCCGCCCCCTTCCTTCCAGACCACTCCCCCCATGTATACCAGGCCTGGGACAAGCATGGTGAGTGCCGCCCCCTTCCTTCCAGACCACTCCCCCCATGTATACCAGGCCTGGGACAAGCATGGTGAGTGCCGCCCCCTTCTTTCCAGACCACTCCCTCCATCATGTATACCCAACCTGGTGCCAGAATGGAGATGCCACCCCCTTCTTTCCAGACCACTCCCCCCATGTATACCAGGCCTGGGACTAGCATGGCGAGTGCCACCCCCTTTCTTCCAGACCACTCCCCCCATGTATACCAGACCTGGGACCAGCATGGTGAGTGCCGCCCCCTTCCTTCCAGACCACCCCCCATGTATACCAGGCCTGGGACTAGCATGGCAAGTGCCGCCCCCTTTCTTCCAGACCACTCCCCCCATGTATACCAGGCCTGGGACTAGCATGGCGAGTGCCGCCCCCTTTCTTCCAGACCACTCCCCCCATGTATACCAGGCCTGGGACTAGCATGGCGAGTGCCGCCCCCTTTCTTCCAGACCACTCCCCACATTATACCAGGTCTGGGACTAGCATGGCGAGTGCTGCCCCCTTCCTTCCAGACCACCCTCCCATGTACACCAGGCCTTGGGACGGGGACCTTGTGTGGCCCCATCATCTTGCCCTTTCCACCCCAGCTTGGCCCCGCCCCTTTCATTCATTGGATTTTAGTTCTTTTAATCGTGCAAGCTAAGCATGTTTTCAGGAGACTATATACAGCACCATGCATAGAGAAGCGAACAGACCTAGTGATATGGTCAAGGTATGTAAAAAATAGAAAGGTTTTATTTATTAATTTCATTAGCATTGTGATAGAAGTGAGAAGGAGATTCAACTTCAGCTTTAAAGTGATACTAAACTCAGGGATTACACCTTAAAAATGCATACCTTAACCAATACCTTATCCATTAACATAAATGTAGCTTATTTGTGTATCACTCAGCTATAGATCCTCTAATCATCTCTGAATTCATGCTGACACTGTCCTTTCTTCTGGAGGGTGGCTACTTTTGTTCCCCATGGTCCCTGTGTGTGTTGTAAAGTAGCCACCCCCCCTGCCCCCCATAGATGAACGAGGTGACATGTGAATGGACTCCTACAGCCCCCTGCTCCTAGGTGGGCAGCTATGTCCTGTACAGAGAACACACACCCTCCCCGGCGGTCGGTGTTCTTCCCCACGGTACCTGTCTTTCCGCCCAGTCGGACCAGAGCTCCGATACTCCTCACAGCCGCCATGTTGTCCGAGGTGACACTGACAGGACCCCGCTCTGAGCCGGTCTCATCAGCCTTTGCCCGCCGGGCTGTCCACCGAAATGCCTGACTGACTTTATCCAACTTCTGCCGCACTAACCCGAAAAAACAGCCATGTAATATTATTATCGATTAATTGTGTAAAATTGTGTGAGAAGTTACCTCACAAGTAGTGTCGGAGAGGAAGAAAATCGTCGGAATACGGATTCAATAGAGACAGGCACTCAGAGGACAGCCCCGGCAGGGAGAACGGCGGAGGGGAGGTCCTTGCATCGAACTTGACGTACCTGGCGGCTGACAGAGAGCAATCACTGTCCTCACCCGTCGGGCTGTCCTTATAGTTGCCTGAGTAACATTACCCATCATATACCTCAGTGACCCGAAAAGAACAGGTAAATAATTGTATTGGTCGGCGGAATTGTGCTATAATTAATTTATTAATTTTCCGAGATGTCTGATAGTAGGGAAAGCGGCAGAATAAGGATAAAATTGAGACAGGCGCTCAGAGGACAGCCCCAACAGGCAGGACGGCAAGTGGGGGCCTCGCAGTGGACTTGACGTATCTGGCGGCTGACAGAACGAACACCGAGCGGAGGAGAGCTGAGGTGAGTGTGTGAGGGAAGACACCAGGGTGAGTGTCGTTGTATCATATCACAATGGCGGAGGGCAGTAAAGAGAACCTGTCACTACCTGATAGAAATCATGCTGAGAGTGTGGAGAGAGTCTGACCTTAGTGTGAAAGTACTCCAAGACCATCATGTAAACAACTTCTGGTTTCAGGATTATTCTGGCACCGGGGTCTCCTATATGTATGCAGCTAGCAGAAGTACCTCATTCTGTATTTAGTATCCGCTTCCTGTCACGGTGCGTTCTTCTGGGGGAGCCAATCGCGTGTACTGACAGGAGTAGGGGGGATGGGCTGATGAATATCTTGCTGCTCCTTCTCTGTCCAATCACGGGGGCTTGAGGTAGGGGTGACATCACTTCCATTAACGACGAATACAATCAACGAGTCCTGAAAATATAAAAAAAGAGCACAATGACAAATGTGTATGTGTGTGTGTATATATATATATATATACACCCTTTCCATGCAATCTGATGTTATCTTGCATTGCTTTCCTACTTCCTGGGCATTAGTGATGTCATCGTGCCCAAACATTGCATCCTGGGGAGGTGACATCAGCAGAGCGTTGCTGGGAAATCGCATCTGTAATCTCGTGAGAGCTCCAGGAGAAGGCGTTTTACTCCCCTGTGATGATGTGCACGGTCACGTGTCCTAGTCACATGTGCCAGAGTTCCAGGAAGTAAAGGGAGAGCTAATAATCTGCGCTTGGTAAAAATGGCCGCATGAGCAGAATGGGGCGAAATAAGGTGCAGAGAATACGAAGCCGGCAATTATGTAGAAGTACCCCTGGGGTATATGTAGTTTGTATCCCCGGGGTCTGCTGGCAGCACAGGCTAGGCGACAAAGATGGAGGAACTCCGGCGCTGCCGCTCCCAGATTCCCCCCTTTACTGGAGCAATGCCGACCAGCCAGGAAATGAGGCGGACTCTATCGGACTTGCTGCAGCTTCTATAGCACATTGTGAGACGCTCCCGGTGTGCGGTGATATCGGAGGAAGAGGAGCCGGTACAACTGTGCAAGACTGGAGGGGAGGACGGAGGTCGGGTGTAAGACTCAAGGGAAGGACGGAGGTCAGACTGGAGGCCAGACAGGAGGGGAGGAGGGAGGCCGGATTGCCGGACGGGAGGCCGGAGCTCATACGGGAGGTCGGACGGGAGGATGGAGGTCGGACGGGAGGATGGAGGTCGGACGGGAGGATGGAGGTCAGACGGGAGGCCGGAGGGGAGGATGGAGGTCAGACGGGAGGGTGGAGGTCAGACGGGAGGCCGGTGGGGAGGATGGAGGGAGGACGGAGGTCAGACGGGAGGCCGGAGGGGAGGATGGAGGTCAGAGGAGGGAGGATGGAGGTCGGACGGGAGGATGGAGGTCAGACGGGAGGCCGGAGGGGAGGATGGAGGTCAGACGGGAGGATAGAGGTCAGACGGGAGGCCGGTGGGGAGGATGGAGGGAGGACGGAGGTCAGACGGGAGGCCGGAGGGGAGGATGGAGGTCAGAGGGGAGGACAGAGGTTAGTTTCTATGATTGGTGTACAGATTTTTTTTCCTCGGGTCACCTGACCAGCCATGATGCCCTATCAGAGGTGTTCAGTCTTCTATGTTGCAGTATGAGGAGCTCTGGTCAGGAGTCCAAATCTCTGCGATGTTCTGTGAGCTGAAGGCAGCATAATGACCTGAACGCTAGAAATATGCAGAACATTCTCAAAGCTTTAACTCCAATTCCGGGAAAAAACTGGATGCTGAGAATCGTTTATTGCAGGCATAGGCATCCCCGGCACCGCAGCTGCGGTGAAAACTACAAATCCCATCATGCGCCTGCATCTGGGAGTCATACTTGTGGCTGTCAGAGTCTTGCAGTGCCTCATGGGACTTGTAGTGCCTAACCCTAAGGATTGCCGATGATTGATGTAACTGATCAGATGGCGGCTCAGGCGGGGAGCTCAGCAGACTTGTGGAGGGTGATCGGGTGTCGCAGATCAATATTCCGCCGATCAGTCAGGACGTCTATTGTCATATGAGGAACCCGTGACCTTCGCAGAGCTCCTCCCCCTTTATTCATGGCGGCGGGTGGAGAGGGCAGCGTTACATGAACCTGGTACTTTGGCTGCACTGACCACATTCTGTCCTTGTGTAATCTTAGTTGGGGGGGATTAGAACCCCTGTCGGGTTTATACTGTTATCTGGGGCTCCCTTAGAGAAATTTCCCCTCACTTCCTGTTCTGACAACATTTACCAGACAAGAAGTGAGAAAAACTATAACAATAACACAGATAGATAAAAAATAGTAGGGAGGCTAGGACCTCTGTCAGGCTTTTTTTATGTGTGGGCCCCCCAGTCTTGTAAAACTGGGAATCGGCAAGACAGGAAGTGAGGAGAAATTTATATAATGGAGCAGATGATGGCCGTAAAGACCTGACAGGAGGTCCAATCCTTCCCCACTATGAGGGTTTTGAAGTCGGATATTCCCTTTAAAAAACCGAGTTTGTTCGGTAGGGATCGCCTGACAATCGGAGGCAGGAAGTCTTCTTGGTCACTGATCTTATGGCTCGTTGTCATTTCCTGTCAGAGCTCTGCACAGCGGTACAGACTCTCCTCGGGTGACCTTCCGGAAAACCCATCAGACACCGAGGAGTGTACGGTAGAGGCAGACCGTACACAATGGGGATCAATAGCCAGCCTGCTATTGGCTACTTCAAATTGCAATAGCCAATAGCAGACTGGCTATTGAATCCCCGCCCACTGATGGGAGGCGTGGACCTGGAAGAGAAAGTTCTCTCTCAGGTCCGCTCCTCTTCTCAGTGGGCGGCTGCAGTAGCCAGCCTGCTATTGGCTATTGCAATTTGAAATGGCCAACAGCAGTCTTGCTATTGACCCCGGCTGTTTACGTTCAACTGCCGGTGTTCTATCGAAAGCTCCAACTTGTCGGAATCTCCAACTACCTCACTGCCGGGTACTTTGCAAGTTGGAAATTTCGACCAGATGGCGTTAGACTGCAAAACACAAAGACTGACGGAGCTTCTGTACGGCCGCATTTTAACAATGTTCAGCAAGCGGCAAACTCGACTAGCATTCTCAAAACGCTACGCGCGCATGAGCACCGCAACCGTGCAGAGCTCCGGTCTTTTTGTGCACCGGAAGTGAGGTAGTTGGAGATCTGGATGAGTTGGAGATTTCGATAGAACACCGGCTGCAGAAGCGAGCTGGCAGGTGAATAGGGAAGCGAAGTGTCTCGAGCCTGGTTGCTTGAGGGTTACTATTAACTCTCAAGCAACCAGAAACTACAGTTATCCGGCATCTACCGATCTCTGGGTGACGTATAACAGGGAGTTTACCGTACGGTACGCTCCATCGTAACTCGGTTGATCGCATCCTGAGGAGCATCTGTATTGGAGTCCGCGCTGAGAGTGATGGGTTTGAGGTTCTGTACTCAGAGTTTATGTCTAAGAACTCGATGATCCGAATGGCGGTTCTACCAATTTTAGAACCTCTGTCAGAATTGTATTATTATTTAAGAACTCTTTTGAGAGTTGATCCCTACTTCCTGTCCAGGTGACAGTTGTGAGACAAAACAGGAAGTGGGGATCTCCTCCATGGTTAGAACCCAGCGGAGACCCCACAACGGGGCGTCAGGAGATCTCGGCATTGGTCTGAAGCTGAAATCTGTGACAACGTCACGGGAGCTGCGGCTGCGCAGAGTGAACGTCGTGCGTTCACTTATTTCACTTTTATCCTTCCTGTCATTGTAATCTGTGTCATACTGAGCCCGGTGTAGGGGGCCCTGCGTGGCCCCCCAAACGTCGCTATCACTGTGACAACATTCGCGTGATCGGTTCTTAGCTGTGCCGGCGACATTTTACTTCATTGTAATTTGTATCGGTCACACGAGTGACAACCTGAAGAATCTGATCAGCAATTACACCCCATTCACACTGAGCGGTTTATCGCGCCATTTCCGCCACGAAATCGCGCATATTTCCGCACAATATCTCTCTATGTCGCTTTTCAATGGCGCTGTTCACATCCCACAGCTCAATGTCGCCTCTAGCTCGTCCACGATCCTTTTTTGGGCGGATGTCGCGCGATTCGGCTCCAATAGACTCTACGGTGTCGCCCAAAATTGCCGGCGATATTGCACGACTCTGTCGCGCTACAGAAGGGGGTCACCTTTGCACTGCAAAATGGAAGGAAAGAATGAAGTCACATCAAGATAGCTGTTGATTGGCTACAGCCCGATGTAGGAGCGACGAAAGCGCGTCTTTGGGGCGGGACATGTAGCGAGATAAAATGTGCACTGTCGCTCAATATCGCAGCTCAAAGCCGCTGCGCACGAAAACGCGCATTATATATCTCGCTCAGTGGCAATGGGGTGTAAACCTGTGAGCCGCGGAGGTCATTGCCGTCTCCTTATAATGATATTGAACCGTGTGGGTCCGGGGCCCCGGTGGAAGGATTGACCTTCAGGGCCCATGTGACTTGGTATTGTTCCTATTATGCCATGTGCAGTGGAAGAAATGTGGCCCCTGGAATTGGGTGAAAGGCGATGGAAGGAAAGTAGGGGAAAGGTCGCAGCCTGGAGGAGTGTGACCGGCTTCTTAATGACGGGAGG